GTTGAGTAGGAAGAAATCATAAGGGTGAAAGGTATAATATTATAAACTCAAAAAATAAAATAAATTATTTTTAAAGTATGGAATGTGAGCTGAGCTGATACCAAGATGGACATGCCAAGTATACTGACTACAGAAATTTCATAAGTCATAGCAGACTTCATTTTAAGCACATTCACACTGAGCTATATCCAAAGCTTTTCACAACTGACTTTTACTTTAGAATAGTGTCAGAATCTTTCTACTTTGGATATAACCTGTAATACATTTAGACTGGTTTTACAATCCTCCTGTTTCAACACCTTAAAGAGCTGGGAATAATGGTTTTGCTTTATTATAACACCATAAAAGCTATATTTAAATTAAGAATTTAAAGCTAATAGTAAATCACTAATTTTTACTCTTAACATATAAACAATACTTATTAGGAGAGTTTGTCAAATTATATTCTATAAATCAATTCAAATATTAATTTAATATAGGCATTAGGTATTTGTTACTGCAACAAAAAAAAACTGAAAGAGGCAACAGGAAGAAGGAGAGGCTATTTTTGCTCATATTTTGATAAGATAGACTATCTTTGCAGAAGTCAATGTGAAAGGAGCTTGGAAAAGGTGACTGTCATTCAGAGTCAAGAAGAGAGAGTAGGGGCTGGAGCGATGGCTCAGAGGTTAAGAGCATTGCCTGCTCTTCCAAAGGTCCTGAGTTCAATTCCCAGCAACCACATGGTGGCTCACAACCATCTGTAATGGGGTCTGGTGCCCTCTTCTGGCCTGCAGGCATACACACAGACAGAATATTGTATATATAATAAACAAATAAATATTAAAAAAAAAGAAAGAAAAAGAAAGAAGAGAGAGTAATGAAATCTGGCCCTCAGCTCCATTTTTTTTTTCTCAGATTGTAACCAATTACAACCTATGGAATGGTACCATACCAAACCAGGTTGAGAGTTGTTCTTTTTTTCTTCTTGATTAATTTAATTTAGATGACCTACTACTACTACTACTACTACAACAACTACTACTACTACTACTAATACACACACACACACACATACACACACTGACAAAGATTTGTTTGAATGAGAGATGGAGACACCCAGATTTGTTTAAATGATAGTTCTAAACCCATAGGCTGACAGAGAATATCTGTCTGCACAGTGTATAATTTAAGAGCTCAAGGAATCTGCAAAATTTCTCACTCTACCTACAGCAATCTAAATATGAACTGTGGATAATGCTTCTAAACATAGTTAACTTTAGCATACAGTGTGTTTTTCTTCATTTTTTTAAACTATAAAAACTAAAAATTAAAATTTTTCTGATAATATTATCTGTAAAGCAAATGCTATTCTATCATGTAACATATAAAACCATAAAAGAGCATTATATAAATACTTCATGAAAATAACAATTATATTATTTTAGCACTATTAATTAAATTATAATCACATAATTCAATTTTACTCACTGATTAATCTTAAAATGTAATATATTAGAAAAAGTATTTTTCACAATGCATCTGCACAATCAAAATTAGGGTTTTGGTTAAATTCCCTCCCCACATAAACTTTAATTTCATTTTCCCATTATTGGCTTTTTTTTTTTTGGTTTTTCGAGACAGGGTTTCTCTGTGGTTTTGGAGCCTGTCCTGTTACTAGCTCTGTAGACCAGGCTGGTCTCGAACTCACAGAGATCCGCCTACCTCTGCCTCCCGAGTGCTGGGATTAAAGGCGTGCACCACCACCGCCCGGATTATTGACCCTTTTAAAACTTTGATCTTTATCAGGCTATTTCAAAATAAAGGCCATATTAGTGAAACTGTGTGTCAGTTAATTCACTTGACTTGAAAATTTAAAAGTAATAACCAATTTTTGACATTACAATGAATGATTTAATGAGAAACAAAACTTTTATCTGTGTATTAATCACACTTATGTGGGACATTATTGAGCTACCCAGCAGTTCTTAGCCTTTGTCTTGAAATTTACAATTGCCTTAATGAGCTGCTACTCACATTTCCTTTCATAATTATAGGAGATAAACACAACAAATTGCTCTCGTTCATTTTCTAGGATGCAGCTCATAGTTAGCACTAATTGCTCAGCTCCTTTGTGTTTTTTATGAATTCACATGGATAAAGTTGGCAGGGTTGTGCAGATTTAGATGTAATTTTTGTTGATGTCTGGTATGAGTTTATTTTTTAACAGTAGTTTGCTTTGTAAATTTTGTAAATTGAGAGGCAAAAGCATTGAATATTTATTCAATAAATAAAATGCCTTTTACATGGTACCCTGAACACACATACTACAACTAAAGAAGGAAGATGTGTATCTTGTTATTCTAATAACAACTTATATATAATATATGATATAATATATAAAGTTAATAAATGCAAGCTCTCAGGATTTAATGAAGTAATTAAATTTAGTTACAACACAGTAAAACAACCTCTGCATTAAATTCATTACTCCATTACATTGATTTTATTATTTGTATTCTCTCAGTATTTTCCATGCGTGTGCGTGTGCCTAGGTACTGGATAAATCTTTAAGTCGCTTCCTTAAAGTAATTTTGAATCACTATTATTTATATTTGTTATTCTTGAATATGTCTCACCACCCCTTTTATTCATATTACCATCATTACTCTATAATTTATTATATGTAATATCATAAACAAGCAAGTGAGACAGACTTTTGTTTCATCCTCATAGGACCCCTATTTAGAGTACTTGCACTGTAAAAAGTCTGTTCTCCTGAGGCTCATGTGAATACCCACCCCTGAGCTTTATTGCAGCTGCAACATAGCACAGTGGCATAAACCCTTCAGAGTATCCCAGAAGCAACCCACCCTGCTTCAGACATTACCAGTTACTTAAAATTAAAATGTCTTCTAAAAATTAGTAGCACCGAAGACAACATTAATCCCAGAAAGCTCAATTGTGTTCTTTTCAAAACCTGTTGTTCTCACTCTTGCATGCTTAATAAATTTATGTGGATGAACTCACAGGCATGCTCTTGTGATCTGGCACAAAATCATTTCCAGTATTTTTATAGTTTAATAGTAAAATATAAATGTTGTAATTCATAACATCATCTTTCATCATCCTATCATACTTTGTTTCTTCTCCATTATCTAAGGTTTGACATCTGTCAGTCTTCAGTTTCAGGGCAGATGCTTCGTAATTCAGGGGATTTTATTGTTAATGGAAGAAAGGAAATGTCAGATGCCCACTCAATCAAGGTGAGGATGTCAGCTTCCAAAGTTAAAGTTACTTCTTCTTCTCTTTCAGAGAAGACGCTGCATTCCTCATTCCTCATCAGAGTCTCTTTTCTCCGTGTCTCCTTTCTACTACACAGCTAGACTGTGAACACAGTGGAATCCTGTCTTTCCAATAACACTTGTTGTGTAGGTAAAGTCTAAATCAGTTTTAATATGCTGCTATATGCTACATTAAAGCATATGCATTCAGTGACAAATGTCTTTGTAAGAGAAAAATTTAATGTATTAGAAAAAATATTTTTAGTTATGAATTGTGAGTGAATATTTTTACTTATAGGTACGAAAAACTCGGCTGTGTATTTCTAGTTTTAATGAAAAAGAGAATAACTATGTAATAAACATATATTTATGCTTTCTGCATTGTAAATTACAGCTTAACATATTTTTTTCATAATTAAAGTTTATTTCTGGGAAAATCTATTTCTTATCAGTAGTATCCAGTAAATATCTAATAATATCCAATATTAGAGCCTATCTACATTATTAAAGATATCTGAAATTGTACTAAATGCATATTTATCTATGCAGTATAAATATTGCTTTTATGTTCTGCTCCTCAGTAAAAGTTCCACAGTTAGAGGCTGACTTCTAAATTATGAATTATATTTCCTGAAGTATAAATTATATAAAATTGCATTTTATAATTTACATCTACAGAAAAAATTCCCAAATTCTTTTACTATAGACACTAAACAAATGTATATCAGAACATTCCATATTGTTTGATAATCCTTCCTCTAAAGATATTTCAATATTTTCCAAGATAATATGTGTGTGTGAGAGTATATGTGTGCCAGTGTGCATGCTTGCATTTCTTGAGCTATCAAAGTGATCATCTTTCAACTTAAAGGCACAAAGACCTGCACACATTTATTTTCATTTCATAAAATAATGATTTTTATACTTTCTGTTTGCTTCTTGTATTATGTACGAAATAAATACAAAACACAAAAACGTTCTTTGTATTTATTTTCTTGTTGTTATATTCATTTAAAAACTTACTCTATCCATTCTCTGCTCATTTATTAATGTTCTTGCCATTGGTAAAACACAATATGAATAGCTTAATATTCTATAGGAATGCCACTAAAATGGTATAATCTCACAACCCCATTCTTTGTTTCTCCTGTTTTTATTTCTTCTATCTTTTGATTGGTTAACTGCATCAAATTTCATTTGATTAATTTTGATAGTCAAAATTACTAAGTACAAAATCAAAAGACTTTAGTAACCCGATAGTATTTTTCTACCCATTCCACATTATGACATATATTACTCCAAATACTTGTACATTCTAACTTTTTCTTTTTAAATTTTTCATGTTTTTTTGCTATACTTCACTTTCATCCAAATAGAACATCTTGATATATTTTAAAAGCATAGTATGAGGAACAATTGTAAATATGATCTATATGATTTTAAGGTTTATATTCCATATACCATTCCAAGGAGTCACTCCTAACAAGAAGGAAGCTCAAAACTTAAGTAAATTTTAATTATATATGCTCATATTAAAAGCAAACTTGACATATACATTGAGAATACTGCATCCATCTGCATGTAATTAATTATACCTTATAATTAAATAAATTGAAAAACGAAAACACATTTTCAAACATAATCATTTAAACACCTGGCCCAGAAAATAGGCAGAAAGACATCATAGGAATAAACTAAACAAAGGGAGAGGCAACGATACTGTTAGTTCATGTTTACCTTGATGGCAGTGGATGCAATCTGGATGTGGTGAAGTCTGCGAAGAGTGCTGTCCCTGTCAATAAAATAGGAAGCAGCTAACTGATGGAGTGTCTCCAGAGTGACAGACGAACTATTAGTGCTTGTGTCACTTCCTTCAGATCTTTTACTCAGCTTCCGCTTGTCCACAAAAATTGTGAGTGACTCCTCTCCTGCATTAATGAGATAAAAACAACTGTATTTCCGAGTCTAAGTAAGTTTGATACTTCTCTCCTAGAATGAGTGACTACAAACTGCATTGAAGGAAAAGACAACGAGAACCACAGAATTTAATGAACATTAAAAGTTTTATTTTTCTTTCCCAAGTACATATAAGTACCACAGATATTTGAGGCTTTCAAAATATCCTTAGCAAACTTTAAATATCAACATGTTAAAGGATATTTTTGTTAAACTAACTCATTTTGTCATGTAGTTTAACTTAGTCTATACTTGCATACCACAAAGCAAAGTCTGAAAACATTAATTGAAGTGACACAACACCGTATTAAAACATAAATTTTACCACAGGAACAACTTAACAAGATGAAAAGAAGAAAAGCTAAGTAGTCTTCTGTTGTACATGTGAAATGCACAGAAACCCTATCGTAAGCATGTATAAACACATTAGCAACAAATTCCCAAGTTCCCCTCCTATTCTGTATTAATGTGTGGTGCATTAATAATCACCATGTAAATCACTAAACTCGATAGAAGTTGTAGAAACTGATAATGATGATGAACAGTGACATAAGACTTACAGTGAGTAACAGGGAAGCGCCGGTGTCCAAAAAACAGATAGTAATACAAAATAGCCATACTAAGTTGAACATGAAGAACTTGTTCTTCTCAGACTTTAACAGCACTGTGTATTTATCCAACAAATAATTACCAAATTAACTTCATGTTCTTTCTCAGTAACCCATGTGTTATGGCAGAAGTGTGGCTACCTTCCTAGATATGGACGGAGTCGGGAGGACCTAGGACTTACCACAGGGCAGGGAAACCCGGACTGCTCTGTGGACTGGAGAGGGAGGGGGAGAGGAGTGGGGGGAGGGGGAGAAGTGTGGGAGGAGGGGGAGAAGGGTGGGAGGAGGGGGAGCGAAATGGGAGGCTGGGAGGAGGTGGAAACTTGTTTTTTTGTTTATGTTTTTTTTTCTTCTTTTCTCAATAAAAAAAAAATTAAAAAAAAAACTGAAAGGATGATTTGGGTAGGTAAAATAGTATCATCCGCAAGAGCAGCATATATCTATCTGAAAGATGATGTACATTTTATTATAGCATAGCTCTTGTGATCATCTAATGATATTAGACCATTGACCTCTCCAAGACAGTCAATCCACATTTTAATAAGCTCTTATATATATATATATATATATATATATATATATATATATATATATATATATATATATACAAAGCACTAAGTGATTTAAAATAATTTTAGAGATTTTAATATAATTATAAAATTTCCTCCATTTCCTTTCCTCCCTCAAAACCTAAGGGAGGATATATAATATTTAATATTTTTTCTATGATAAATGATGTAGGCCATATCATCACTTTTATAGAAACATTTTCTGAAGCCACAGTTTAAAGGATAGAACTATAAGAGTTTACAGGAAATGTTTATACTGATAAATATATATGACTTCATTCACTGAAGTGTGCAATCTATATGAATCCAACACAAAGTGGGTGATGAAGAAAGACGACTGTAAGAAATAAAAATATACCTAAAAAGAATAGTTTTCAATGGGTTTTAAGATGTAAAAAGTATATGTAAGTGTCAAAGCTGCTTACTTGAACAAACAGATAGAAAATGCATAACAACACTCAACATATTTTTTTTCCAAGGGAAGAGAAAAGTGAATGAACAATTTACATAGAAAATCTAAAATAAATCAAAATTGGAAACCAGGAAAGTAATTATTTTATGACATTATTTAAATAAAAGGTTTTGGTTTCTTGCTAATAGTATCCTTTAGACATAAAACTCACTAAGTTGACACAAAATATTGCATAAGGTGATTCTGCCAAAACTTTGAAGATATAAAGAAAAGAAACTTTGAAATATTTACAGAGACTAAAAAGGAAAAAATACATAATTTCACATAAAATTGATATAAATATTTGAAAACATATATCATGGCAGATATTTATTAATCTTAATCAGTGATCAAAAGTACAGTGTTATTAAACATGATTTAGCAGTAAAATTGATAAACCTCTTACTTGTGACCAAATGTTATAATTTTAATAGCATAAAAGAGTTTCAAGATTAGGAAAATAAGAAAAAAATTTTAGTATATCATGCTGTGGAATACTTCTTTACATGGTGTGAAGATATGCCCCTGTGATTAGTATAATAAAAAGTTATATGGTCAATAGTTAGGCAGGATTTGGGGGGCAGAGAGGATACTGAGAAGAAGGTGGAGTTACCTAGCCTACATGAAGAAAATCAGAAAGCAATATGGGCAGTACAGAGTAAAGATAAGAAAGATACAAGACAAAAAGTAAATTAATAGAAATGAGTTAATTAAAGTTATAAGAGCTAGTTAAAAAAAGCTTAAGATAGCAGCTGGGTTTTCCTAATTATTAAGAATTGCACATGTGTTTATTTGGGAGCTGACAGGCAAGACAGAAAATCTGCCTATATTGTCATATAATATCTAGAAATAAAACCTATTATAATCACGTATAGAATAATGTTAGTTGATGATGGATGTTTATTTCTTTGCAAATGAATAATTAGATCACAGCTCTTTGAGAAGAAAAAGTTGTAGCTTTCAACAAGAAAGACAAATAACTTACTAGAGAAAGTCAGAATGTTTTCCAATTAAAATTAGGCCCACATAAGTTTTGGATGTGATAGCATTTTCCTTTTAAACTGCTACTTAGGGAATAAAGGCAAGGGTGGAGTCAGGAGCCAAGATTTTTGTCAGGGCCATATAGTGAGTCTGTGTCATTTTCATGCTACATGAACGTTTGTCTCAATACAAACACACACACACACACACACACACACACACACATACACACAAATACAATGACAAAAATACAATAAAGAAAATTGGGTTGATATTTTCAGCAATAAATAAAGATTAAATAAAAGTAAAAAAAAAAATTCCACCCCAACAAAAAGACATGAAACACAGAGAAGAGAACTTGGCATAGCCTCAGCCATTGAATTATATAGTAGCTAAATAAAGGCACACAGTACTGCTTCTAAATGGTTAACTGAATGAAAGAATGGCATTCTTATTATCAAAAGAAGCCCATGCTCTTTTAAGCTTCACATCAAGTTGCAAATATTGGTGATATAAACTCTGGCATCTGTAAGTGAAAGAATAATCATATTTTGCCATTTTACAAGACATGAAGGACAGGAGGCAAAATCTAGAAAGAATCTATTCTTAAATGCTATCTAGAGTGGTTTTGATCAGGGGACATATATGAGGAAAGTCAGACTTCACCCTGACACACCAAGGGAGACAAGACAGAGAAAGCTGTAGTGTACACCAGCAGGGCTTGGCATTGCTAAAACAAATGTTAAAGAAGCAGGAGACTGTCTTAGGAAAGGCACTACACAGGGAAAGACAGTTCCACCCTTGCCAGATAAGCAGAAGCAAACATATGAGCTGAGAATAAGTGAATTTTGATACCAATGGTGGTATAAATTCCAGGGAAACATTTCTGTTATTCAGATACCTGGAGTCTTAGAACTTTGATGGTCTTGGTATATGCATCATAGGGAGACCAGTCTAGAATCTTTGGGGCGTATGCTATACTGGGAAAAGTATCCTTCATTCACAATGCTTCAGATTATTCACAATGTTCAAAACTTGAACATTGAAAAGGGCCTGTACAATGCACAAAAGGCAAACCTAAAAATGGAGCCAGACTTGAAAGGAATAAACATAGGACCAAACTAGTTCCTCTGAATGGGTTTGACATTTGCATGGCTGGGGCAGACTGAGGGGCCACTGACAGTGGCACAACGATTTATCCCTACTGTATGTACTTGCTTTTGGGGATCCTATTCTCTTTGGATGTATACCATGTTCAGCCTGGATATACTAGTGATAGACTTGGACCTTCCACAAGGCAATGTGCCTTGCCCTCTTTGAAAATTAGATGGGGGTGGGGTGAGAGGGGTGTGGAGACAATGGGAGGAGAAGAGGAAGTAGGAACTTGGATTGGCGTTTTTTTAAAAAAGAAGTCTAATAAATTTTAAAAACTGACATTTAATTACAGCACTTATCCCTTTGCTTTCTTCCCTTTCTGCCCCTATAACCCTCTCTGATCTTCAAGTTTATTGCCTGTTTTTCACCGTCCTTGAGTGCAGATATGATCCTGTGTATTCATACATATTCCTAAATATAACCAGCTGAATCCATGTAATGTTGAGAAAAACAAAACAAAAATTCTTTTAAGCCAAAGCATATTTAGTAAGACTTTTATATTAATAAAGCCTGCTTTTTCCATTTTTGTTTAATAATTTTTTAGCTCAGTCCTCTAGTTTGTACCCAAATGCTGAAAATAAGTTCTCTGATTGCATATTTCTAAGAAACATTTTTTGTCATCACTTTTTAGTGATAAGAAAATCTATATTATTAACTAATTTCTCATAAAATTCCAATTATCTATTACCCCAGACTACTGAAGCAGCATGACCTTCTTTTTAAAATTTACTAAAATACACTGATTTAAGACTATTTGCCCAATATGTTGTCCCATATAAAATTGAAGGTAATACATAGCAAGATGCAGTAATTGTTGTTTTAGATAAAGTGGCTCAAAATATGCTAGTGTGAGTGATGACATAGAGAATACTGAACATTTAAGCAGATATGAGCATAAGGAAATGTGGACCAGAAATGAACAAGCAAGAAGAATATGCATTTTCCATCTAAGGAATAATTAGTTCCTGTATTTTTATTACTTTAGTGTATATGAGTTATTTGTATTCTCTTCTAACCTGAAAAAAAATTGATACTTCATACAATAAAAAATGTATTTTTTTTACTGATTTTTATTGAGCTCTACATTTTTCTCTGCTCCCATCCCTGCCTCTCCCCTCCCCACTTCAACCCTCCCCCAAGGTCCCATGCTTCCAATTTACTCAGGAGATACTGTCTTTTTCTACTTCCCACGTAGGTTAGACCTATGT